TGTATGTCTGATTGCTGCAATTCATAATCATGACAAGTTTGACTATTGTTCTCATCGTGTTCAGACATTTGTGTTAACTCACTGATTTCGTTATCCTCTGTTCCTTCTTCTTTTGAGAGCTCCTCATGTGAACTACTATCGTCTTCCTTCTCATCTATAAAGATTTCACCTTGTTCGAAGCCTTGGGAGTCCCGTATTTCGTTCGTTCCTTGAGACCATCTACTGCGTCGTGCGGACATGTAGGCCGCCATTTCTTTTTTTCCTCAGAGAGGAAGGATAACTCCGAAAATATATATTTAAGTTGAAATGCATCAAAATAAACCTTGAAAATGATTTTTTTTTTATAAAACAATTTTTATTACATTCATCTTAATAAGATTCTAGGTTTTTGGAAGTCTTAGATTTGATTTGTGGTATTGCTGATTTACCAGCAAAGAGCTTAGTCATTAATTGCAACCAGTTTAATTGACCGTATAGCTATACGATTTCTGCATTCAGGAGAAACCTTTATGACTGCTTAAGGGGTACAGTGAACACTCTAAGCCACATCCTAGTAAGAGAACAGCAGATAAATGCTTTTGAAGCTGGAAACAGAAGAAATGCTGTGTAAGGAATAAAGGGGCAATCTTTTTTAATAACCGGTCACGGTAGCCTAGTGGTAGAGCGTTCGCTTCGTGATCGGGAGGCCCGGGTTCGATTCTCGATCGAGGCGCCGCGTCATACCTAAGACGTAAACAAAGTTAGTGAATGTTCCTTCGTCAAGCGCTCGGCACTAGAAGTGAAAGTCACGGGTCTTTCGGCTATGACCTTAAAACGTAGGTCCCGTGTCACGGTAGGCGTTGGCACGAAAAAGAATCCTCACTGCTCAATGGCCCTGAGTGCCGAGTATAGGTCTAAATTTGAAGCCCTTCACCGGCATCGGTGACGTCTCCATATGAGTGAAAAATTCTCAAGAGGGACGTTAATATACAATCAATCAATCTTTTTTAATATGGCATTGTTACTTTGTCAAGTTTTCCAGCATTGATTAGAGTGTTACTTGGTGTTACAAAAGTGTTGATAAACTGTTGGACAAGTGGAAGTAACAGAAAAGACATATTTTCAATTTCATCCAACATATCAGTTTTTTATTAATGCCTGAACTGAATCAAAAAACCATCGTACATACATAGAGTTCCTAGAACAATATTGAATCACAATAAATATTAGAAATAGCCAGAACTGAGAACATGGCTCTTCATTCTCTTTCCATTCAATGTGACATCCTCGAAGAAAAAATGATTTCATCACTCTGCCTCTTTTGTCTACATACTATTACAGCTGAAGATTTGGAAAAAAGTAAGGTATTGCTTTCATACTTTGTACACATACTTTGTACACATACAGTTCAATGTATCAAGAAAGATACATGACACTAAACATGCACTGCCTCTTGCATTTGCCTAAATGTGTAAAGGAACTTGGTCCATTATGAAGTAACCGGTAAATTGCAAAACCTTATTCTGTGGAGGCCATTTATCAGCATGGTTCCCCTACACTTTGTTTACGACTCTTGGTCACATAATCAAATTTTATAATGTCTAAAGTACTCTGTAAAACAGTAGAAAAAACAATTAAATCCTTGACAAAATGATAAAACAAAGTGTTCACATGAACTGCTGGTAGCTGCAGGTTCGGTAGATCTGTCCTGATGGAGAATGTCATTCCTTTTGTCGGAGTAAACCCAGGTTGTCCTGCCAGCCCCAGATTTCCCCATGTTGTCCTTGATAGACCTGTAGCTAAAACACAATAACTTTTATGATAACAAAAAAGGAGTTAAAGAAACTTACAGCATTTGAAAAATTTCTTTTAAAACTGCATATTTAGCTTAGTATACATGTATATATACCTATTAACATTGGGTTAAATTTGCAAAACTGTATTGTTCTTGCTTTTACATGCTTTAATTGAAACCTTAATATTATGTTCCATTTTTAAATTATCTCTGTATGCACAACTTTAGCAAAAAAATCTTGATTCATATTTATAGACATTGATTGAACTTTCTTTTGTTCATTTTCATTTAAACAGGTTGGGCACAGCCCACCATTTGGTACTTTATCTCTCATACGGTAGACAATACCCCATATGGTGTACACATATAACTGACCAAATGGGAGACAATTTTTTTGCCGCCAAAATAAAATGAAAACAATGTAAAATCGCATCAGCACGAGAATCAAGGAATGTTAGTTGACATTCTCAGGTACTATATAAATCGAAACACCTGATATTCTATGTCCGGTTTCGAGCTTCAGCGAGATAAAGACACCATATAGGTACGTAATCTTTCATTTCCTTACCTTTTTTTGCTAATAACAACAATAAATCCAGTTGATTTGTATCAATTCGACTTGTGCACGTCCTTTAGGTTTGGAACTTGTAAATTTAAAGCGCACGGATGACAAAGATTAAGATAGACCAATGAAAGTGCCGTTATTTTTAATTATCTGTCAGAATTCATGGTATGGCGTGCATGTTATGCTTAAATTTAATATAAATATTGTGCAAAATCGCACTGTATAAAAATGTGATTATTAAAATGCAAAACATTAATTCATGCATGGGTTTATATTAAAGAATGCCATTTGATAAGAAGTGTGGGTGCTACCATGCACGTTTTTGCCCAAAAGATGGACAAAATTTGCAGAAAATTAATGGAAAGAGAATCCGGGTGGCAGTTACTAAAAAACTGCAAGATATGGGAGTGCTAAGTACATATGCAAACTTTCTTTGTGATGGTTGTATAAAGTATACTGAGGTAAATAAAAATAAACTTGTATACGTATTACATTAAAGTGTCAACTCTCTTTATCTGTTTATGTAAATTGAAAAGGGATTGATGGGGGGGATGTCGAAATACATTAACAACGATGATGTTTCTGTAATTCTATAATTAAAGAAACCTATTATGATACGGGACTCAATTTCTCCGTCAAAAATTTCTTACATGTATGTTTATACGACTTACTGTGAAATCACAATTTTTTTTTGGGGGGGGGGGGTTAATCCTGGTTTTCCACAATTTTATGTCCATCACGAAATGCATTTTTTTCACATATATATCTAACTAATCAATTCTTCAAGCAAGAAATGAAATGCACATGAACCATATTTTCCTCAAACCAGAAAAAAAATTACCCCTTAAAAATATGTGATTTTACAGTAACGCTAACCCCACCCCATTTCGATCCCTTAAGCCATTCAATGATTAATCAATCTCTCTCTCTCTCTCTCTCTCTCTCTAACCTCATTTCATTGCAAAAAGTTCACTTTATCAGGCCTTGTTACTTGAGGAGTCGCACAAGAGGAAAAAGAACACTCTATTGGCAGAAGTTTTACAAAAACTAGAAAATGATGAATTTACAAAGGAGGAGTTAGAAGAGCTGACAAAAGCCATAGGTAATGAAATCAGATTCAGAGGAAAACACATAAGTTATTTTTTTCTTTATTTCTTCCTTGATGAAAGTGGGGAATATTTATTTCGGTGTGTATGTCCGTCCGTTTGTGCGTTTAGCTGTCTATAGTTTGTCCGTCTGTCTGTAACACTTTCAATTATACGCGATGTCTCAAGAAGCCTTTAAGCTTTTGCAATGAAATTTTACACAATAATTCCCTGTGGTCTAAGAAAGTTTAAAGATCACGTTAGGGGTCACCTCAGCATGACCTTTTGAAAAAAAAATATACAGCCAATGACAATTGGTATGTAACGTCATCATCCGACCAAGAGTAAGAGTGTTTTATACAGCTTCTAGCTTACACAAGCAAAATGGCTGCGCCCATACGTAAAGTTGAGAGAGAATTGGATATTAAATTAAAGAGAGAACAGGTGGAAATATTGCAAAGCCTTGTGGAAAAGAGGGACTGTATGGCAGTTTTACCAACAGGGTTTGGCAAATCATTCCTTTTCAACTTCTCCCGCTTGTTCAGAAGGAGATGGGTCGTACCGGCATGGTTCTGGTGTGCTGCACCCTTGTGTCTTTAATGAGAGACCAATTACAAGTGGATAGAACAAATACAATTAAAGGCATGACAGCGGCATATAAAGGTATATGGCTTTTAATATTATTTTGTTATTATATATATTCATAAACAATATAATGAGGGAGACGAGGACTAACTCGTCACTAACACTTTGAGGAAATTCCGGTTATTGCAAGTCATGAAGTTCACACGCTCAAGATTCCTCAATGCTCAAAAGCCCTGCGTGCTAAGTAAAGCTTTGAACTTAAAGCCCTTCATTGATGTTTGGGAATGTTTTATATTTGTGCGAAAATGTAAAAAATTCTCACATCAGACGTAAAACAATAAACAGGTCCAGCACAATCTCTTGATTTAGCTATATAGCTTGAAATAGCTATATAGCTTGATTTAGCTATTTAGCTTGATTTAGGTATTTCATCATACTTTTTTTCTAACTTTGTGTAATTTTTTTTCAGTAGGTATAAAAATTCTAACTTTAATGCAGTGATAGTTTGGAACTTTGAACTGTTCTGTAAACAATGCATGTGAAAATTGCTAATCAAAACACGTCTCTTTCATAGACTTTGCACTCAAAGTTCTAAAAGTTTTGGGGCTCTCTAAGGCAATCGATTCATGACCACACAGTTACTTCTGGAATGAAATTATAAAGGAGGTAAAGATAATTAATTGGTGATAATTCAGCACAATATGAAGCAAGCATACTTATCCATGCCTCAATGCACACAAAGTGGTGTACATTTACCCAAACATTAGAAATACATCTTTTGCTTAAAAGTGTTCAAAAGCTGCAATGTTAAAATTATCTTTCATTTGGGTTGCTTTTTTGAAAGTTCACAGTACAAATATGAGTGATCACAAACTTGCGACTTTTTGTCTGTTTTTTTTTTTAATCCCATTTCTGTGAAAAAGTGCATATAAATAGCTTTATCAGGCTATTCTGAAGAGCTTAATAAAACTATATACCTTTTTCAAGCTATATGGCTAAATCAAGAGATTGTGCTGGACCTGATAAACAAACCACAGTGACTCAGATGAGAGTTGAATCAATAAATATGCAAACATGGTAATTCATATTGTGCAAGCATTTTGTTTGAATTTGTCAGTTTACTCGATATAATTTGGTTCTGAAATAAAATATTCTATTTAATACTGTGGTTTCATCAATATTCATTGAGCACCAATTTTCGTGGATTTCGTTGTTGAATCGATCCACGAATTCAAATGTTCATCGAATTACGAAATATGACTTAGATTTGTATAGGCAATGCTTTTGTCCACGAAATTGCGTATCCTCGAAAATGTCTGTTTAACAAAATCCACGAAAATTGATGTCGACGAAAATTGATGAAACCACAGTAGGTCAAACTCCTGATTTGGACAGGGAGATATTGGATGGGAAAATTGATGTTGTGTATGGGAGTCCCGAGTCATTACTGGGTGAATGGAGGGAACAGCTGCAACATCTTGATGTATCTGCTATTGTCATTGATGAATTTCATTTGATTTCCAAGTTGTCAGTTAATATGATTGACGGTGCGACCGTTGGAGCTTGGGCACTTTTGTATATTTTAAAAAAAACATTTCTAGATCTGCCTCTTCAAACCACACAAGACTCATGAAGGTTAAAGGTCAGATGCACTCGGTCTAGACTGTGACGTCACATCATTTGTATGTTAAATTTGTTTCCTTTATGAGTGTTAAAAGTGAAAGTTTTTTTTTTAATGGTGAGCATTTAATCTGTTTTATATCTGCAATTTCCATTAAAGCAAGACGAGTTTCTTTTTTTTATTTATGAATTTTTCCTTTGTTGTCAGAGAACGTAGGTTAGAAAACTGATAGCGGTGCATTGTGGGTCCATAGGTACTGCGGAAAAAAAATTTATTGAATCAATGTGCAGCAGTCTAAATTTTCTCTTCCCTCAGGCATTGCTTTAGGAGCTCGCAGTGATGCTGCGCTCGCTATACTAAGAATTGTTTGTACAAGTAGAAACAGTTCCAATACGCTTTTCATAAAATTTAAATAACTCTGAGTTACCTTCTTAATATTAAGAAATGGAAGAAGAAATCTTCCCTAACAATTTTCTTGAAATATTTTAGGGGAGATGATGATGCACAAAATGGGAAGAAAGCATTCCGACGGTGGTTTGGTGAGCTGGGAGAACTTAGATCCCTGTTCCCTAGTGCTCCTTTGTTGGCTCTGAGTGCGACATGTACACAGAAAATACAGAGACGAGTCATCAAAGCCTTAGCCTTGAATCATCACACATACGTGTATAAATCCCCTGACAAGAGGAACATCAAGTATAGTGTTAAAAATGTTCCCGGTGACATTGATATGGCATGGACATGGTTAGTGGATGGTCTCATGGAACTGGGAGCTTTGTTTCCAAAAACACTTATATACTGTAAGTCCATTAGTGATGTAGCGAAGATCTATGACTACATAAATGATGAGGTGTCCAAAGAATTTGAGTCATTCATTGGTATGTTTCACTCTGAGACGATGAGTTGTATAAAGGAAAGAATATTGTTATCTATCAGGGATGAGCAAAGCCTACTGAGGATCATCATATCCACAAATGCAATGGGTATGGGTGTGGACTTTAATGGTCTGTCTAACATTGTTTTCTATGGCCCACCTTGTTCAATGCTCGATCTCGTTCAAGAAATTGGACGTGCAGGGAGGGGGGTGTGAGAAGTCTATAGCCGTACTTATGTACAACTCTCATCACCTGCAACAGTGTGACTCTGACCTGAAGAGACTTTATAAAGAGAACACATGCAGAAGAATTCTGATGATGGAACCATTTCTCAGAGAAAATGATCTGGATGATCTCAAATCCAGCACTGGAGACTGTACCTGCTGTGATATTTGCCAAGAGAGCTGTTCGTGTGGAAGTTGTGCTCTTCTGCCATTTGAAAAACTGTGTGTGCAAAAACAGATTCAGGACACGATACTGAAGACTCAGACAGTACTGAAGATCTCTCTGATTTTGATGATTTGAATTTAATTCCTTGATCAAGTTCATATATATAGTTGTAAAACTTGCTTGTTGTGTTCCTGTAATTGTGTATCATCATTCAATAACCCAATATTCATGTAGTATACAGGGTAAATTTTGCCTCCGTTTTATTTTCACCCCATTTGCTCATACCTTTGTAACACAATGAGCATATGCATGTACAATTTAATTGAAATGTTAATTTTGTACAGTGCACTTACTGATGTTGTAATATGAATTTTGCTTATTATCATGATTATAATTAATACTAACAGTGTGTAGAGCAATGGACACTAACCCTTAATCTTGAGCTTGTTTACAAATTGTGCGAGATTGGATACAGTAAGAAAAGTTTCTTCATTGACTGACAATTCGTGTTCACGATGTGTTGTTCACAAACATTGACACTTTCCAATCAGACTCTTTGCACAGAGACCAATCTAATCATCCAAAGAAGGTGCAGAATTCAGTGTTCATGTAAACTACATTGCCTTATCCTATAAGGAGATGGGAGACAGATCTTTAGTGAGGGGTGGAATACATGTATATCAATATTAATGATGTGACACTACAACTTACTGATTGGTGTCTCCAGTGCTGGTTTGATAATTTTGATGCAGCTTTCCTTACAAAAGATTTGCGCACCGGGTTTCAATAACTTTTACCATCTCTAAGACCTATGAGATGCTAATGATTTCCTCTGAGATCTTTAGCTTAGAAACATTTGTGTACTATTGATTTGCCTTTGCTGTGAATTTTATAATCAAACTTTATAAAATTTCAACAATCTTATTGTCAAAATTGGCTTTTGGAAACAAACCAGGTGAAAATGATTTTCAGTATACCTGCCGGGGGGATTTTAATACTGAATACAGTAATAAATAAGTAGAAGTCATGCATCATTAAATGTATCACAATTTATCTAGTTTCAGATGGTATAACTTTAACAGTCTGTCACCAAATAAATACAAAATCGTTTTTGCATACAGAGAATTATACAACTCTAAACTTCTTATGAGTGAATAAATGGTATTTCAGACTTTCTTAAATTATTAGAAATTCCACAGAAAATATACATTGTGTAATATATATAACTTTTAATTATAGCATACATGCACGTCTCTTAAAATTTTGAAAATGGCACTTTTGGATATGCACAACATGTACAATGAAGACTGCTTGTAAAAGAAATGGACATGTATAGCAAAGTGTTAAGGGTCCTCCACACACCCACAGCTTATGTTCTCATATTATTGAGCATTGCTTTTAACAAGCATATCAACCTTTAAAAACTGTCCAGGGATAAAAATGTAATTTATACTAATTTTTTAAAATAATTATTTCACAAGTTTCAAGAAATATTTCCCATGGCGTTTTCAGACCTAGCACAAAAATTTTTGTCTTACCTTTTTGTATATTTTTAAGCTCACAGAATAACCATAAAAACTTAATTTTATCGATCAACACATTTTTTACAGAAATTTATTTTATTTAGAAAAAGTACATAAAACTCATTTTCTCTGAAATGCATCACGAGAAAAATCAACAAGGACTTCTTTTGTAGAGAAGAAACATTAATGAATTAGATTACTTCAAAAAATTGAATCAAAATTAAATGCACTGATGTAGAAAAAACATTTTCAAAATCTCTGGTATCAAAGTTCCTTTTTGGAGTTATCTTTCCTGTTGCTCGGGACTCAAAAACTTTGGCAAGTCTCCGCTTACGTCACCATACTATATCTAGTAATATACTGGCCACTGAACTGGGCACAAATAAAAGAGGAAAACTAAATACGCACACTATTTTATCAATATTTATAAACACACAATAAGACAATGTATTACTGAAATGTGAAAATTAGTGTGCCGAAATTCCAAGATGTTCAACTATCAAAAAAAAAAAGACTCGGTTGATTAGGCCTAGCCTGAAAGAGTAAATAACCTTTACGTTTCTCGTCATACCCACCGGTACCTGTTGTCTAGGAATTAATTATTTTTATTAACATAATCCAAGACGTCTGTTGTTCTTTTATTAAAGATAACGCAATCGTTTTCATCGGTCACTCCGGCCGTGACCATGCCATGTGTTCTTTGTTTACAAACGGTGGTAGGACAATTTGTTCCGGTATTTTTTCTATAAAAACGGAAGTAAAAGTATTTTTTCTCTATATACGTCACAGGTCACATGGTGTGGAGGACCCTTAATTTAATTCAAAAAGGGAATTATACTTGATGAATAAATACCATGAAAAGCATTCAAATATTAACATTTAAAATGTCTATTGAATATTGAAATCAGATTTTAAAATCGACAAATTCTAAGTCGCCCAAATGGTGACGATGGTTTATGCCGGTGAAGCAATGTTGACAGGTCACGTGAACAGTTCAAAAACGGATTTCTATCTAATCCAGGCAGCCTCTTGCTTAACTTCCTATTTACATCTCGGATTAGAAATTTATGGTCTAACAAATCTTTGACAACCTTCTGAACATCTAAAAGGTAAGATGGATGGTGATGAAATCCTTTTCTGTTTCCAAACTCACTTGCCTGCTCAAACTGGTTTGTAAGCTGGATAAGTAATGGATACTCCTTTGAATGCCTTAAAATGCTTTCCTTGGTCTGATGGCCTGTGCATGCAGCCGTACTATCATGATTTAGTGAAATGTTGTTATTATTTCCTCCCTGAAGATTTACATATCTGTTAACTATGAAACGCTCTTCCTGGTCTGGAGTCAAAAGTCATGATGCCATTGCTGTTGTATGTATGGAGGAGATGGAATATTTAATCTTCTGGGTTTTATGGTAAAGTGGAAGCTCGTACTTAGCCGAACGGACACATCGACCACCATCCCCCATATCAACGCCATCATCAACATTTTTATAAGGCATGACCAGCTTGAATAGCATCAAAACATACTCTTGAACCTCATCACTCTGTACATGTTTTCCGTTTTTCATTCTGCTCAATGATACACCATGTTTTTCTGACTCATGGGCCTTTAGAGAGCTAACTCTTTTGTAATCCTTATCACAGTGATGACACTTAAAGCGTCCATTGTCCAGTAGGTTTTTTTGTGCATCCTGTAAATCATTTCTTATTTCCTCCATCACATCTTCTTTGTCATCAAAGAACCATTTTACAATAATCTCTTCACACAAGTCATTCAGCCACTGAATCTTATCATAAGATGACAATTCAGAAAGGCTTGGTAGAGATACATTGGCTATATCTACATACCCCATCTTGTCTAGGAACAGAACAACACAAATAGCATCGAGAACTGTGTAATATAGCATCTTATATGCTCTATATGCATTCCTAACTTTTCCCTCTGCACTTCTATGCCCTATTAGGTTTCTGTAATAATGAATTGTGCATGGTTCCCCTGCTAGGTCAGAACTGTAGGTTAACTTGAAAATTGCCTGAAAAATATACAATAATTTATCATATCCATGATCAACCTTGAAGTATTTTTTTCATGCATCTGCCATGTTGGTTACTGTTTTAGTTACATTTGTACATGTACGAATCTGACAGGATTTTATGAAATGCCACTTACTTCAAGAAAGACCGTTCACGGTAGCTCAGTCGGTAGAGCGCTCGCTCCGTGATCGGGAGGTCGTGAGTTCGTATCTCGGCCGCGACTGACCTGGTCGTTAAAGTTGTTAGCAACTGTTCCTTCGCCATGCGCTCGGCACATTGCAGTGAAAGTTATGGGTCTTCGGATGAGACCTTGAAGTCCGAGGCCCCGTGTCAGCGGCAGGCGTTGGCACGATAAAGATCCCTCACTGCTCAATGGCCCTGAGTGCCGAGTAAAGGTCAAAATTTGAAGCCCTTCACCGGCATACGGTGACGTCTTCATATGAGTGAAAAATTCTCGAGAGGGACGTTAAACAATATACAATCAATCAATCAATACTTCAAGAAAGTTCATCAGTCGATGAAAATCTTCACTTTTGGAAATGAATCCCTCTAATCTACCTTTCGACGTTAATGAATCTTTGAGGGCAACTTGTGCAACTTTGTGTAGCGATCTTAGGTGAGCGGATCAAAGTATCTAATTTTAATTAGATTGAGATCTGCAGCTAAAGGCTTCCAGTGGCCACCGAAGGGGTATTTATGGAAACTTTACATGTCTATTCTGTAATGCATAGTTTTGAAGGATTTATCAATTAAATTTTTAGTAGTAAAAACTATTCAAGATTGTATTTATAATTATATAAAATTATTTTATACATTTCAAAGAGTAAACAGGAAGACGAAACTAAAAGTATGGTTGCTGCAATGGGACATTTTTACCATGCACACCACAACATTTAAGATATGCAGCTGTTGGCACTCAATGTACTAGCATCTTCATAACAGCTATTGTAGCAGCAGCCTTAAGAGAAGTAAAGGACTGGAACTCTGATTTGATAAACGGTGTTCTTGTTGGAGGTGATCGAATTCATTTAGATATTCTTCAGAAGAAAGGGTGACTATTCCACAGATCTGAATCAAAGCTCGATTTTGATGAAATACCAGATAGAATATTCAATGTCAAATTAACATAAATGGTATAAAAGCAAGTATTGGAGTTCTTGAAGAAGGTTCATTTGGATATTTTTCATATACTGACACTCTGGTAACTTTTGTATTTGTAAATAATCCAAACCAAAGTTTTATTCTCCGAATGTTTGGCTCAAGCATAG